ATCCAATAAGGTACACGAACGAGGCAACTAAAGCGATGAGAGCGACAATCTCGGACGGATTAACGAAATGCAGAGGAATAGAGTTACGGATCTTCTCCCGCCAGCGGCTGAGCAGATAATACACCACGGTGAAGAAGAGCGTGAAAAAGACAGCGTTGGTGAAGTATAGAGGGAGAACCAAAGCGTCGGAAGCCTTCGTGGAATTTCCATCGATGGTGGTTGACTTAGCCTTCACCTTAGTAGTGCTCGTCGGCTTCGTCGATCGGCAGCGGGCGTCCATAATGATATTGAAGTAGAAAGTCCAAAACGCCGGCGCCGGATCGGACGGTGGTGGCTCGAGAAGGAAATGAGCCGCTAGATAGAGAGAGAAAGAGCAGTAGTGGGGCAATTCCTGACCGGAAAGAAAAAACAGTTGCCGGACTGAGTTTGAACGGGAGGAGCGAATGTTCACAACTATTTATAGGGTTCTTTTTTGTATGAATTTCCCATTTGAGCTGGGTCCCACTGTGTCCCCCCAATAACTCTTTAGTTTTTATTGTAAAATTAAAAAAAAAAAAAAAAAAAAAAAGTATTTTTTGTCTTTTTTTTTTTTTAAATTGATTTTATTTTTTGAATTTCCAATTTCATAGTCTTTTTTTTCCTATTATGAATATGAACATAATTATTTGTTCCCAATATGATTACCATTTTTCTTTTTAGATTGAAGATTTATATTTTTATATTTTTACTAAAAAAAATATTTATTAAGTTATCTTCGAATTGGACGTTTAGAAAAATCATTAGTTTAAGCTTTTTTTTTAATATATATATATTAAATAGATAGTAAATCATTTGAATACAAAATTAAATGGGGAAAGGTTATTAGATTTTTTTTTTTTTTTTAAAAAAGAATAATTTTAGATTGGTGAAAAATAACAGGTCATTAAACTAAATTTTTTTTCAAATAAATTCGTGAATTTTTTAATAAATTAATAATATATCTAAAATTTCTAACAAATTATTTAAATTTAATATATAAAAAAATTCTAAAAATAAGTTTTAAAGAGTTATTTTACACCAGGTAATAAAAATATTCTTAAATTTTTCTTAAAACTTTTAAAAGTTCATTTTTAAAAAAAAAATTAAAAAAAATTCTCGTATATTTAATTTAGGAGGAATTTTTTAATATTTTATTTAAAAACGTACCTTTAAAATTTTAAAAGGGTTTAAAAATTTCAAAAATATTAATGAATGTTCAAAGGTTTTATTAATACTATTAATTTAAATAAAAAAATATTTTAAAAATTAAGTACATTTTTTTAGTATTAATTCAAAAATATATATATTATATATAGATAATTGGTATTTTAGTAAATTTAAAAGATTTAAATTATTACCGTTTTATGGTTATAATATATATTTCCAGATTAGTGAGCGAACACACGTGTAACACGTGTCTTACGGCCTGTTTAACCTTTTGTTTTCGCCTGTCCTTTCATTTGTTATATTTAAATCACAAAACCCAATCTTTATATTATAAAAATTTATTTAGTCACGTTCTGAATTTTTTATTATAATTAAATTATTTAATATTTAACATTTAACATTTAATTCTAATAATTTTCTAACATTTAAATAATAATTATCCTTAATCACAAAATAATAATAACAACGATAAAATAATATAGATACTAATATCCCTAAAACGCTCACAATGCACCATGGACCTATAATATGACAGTGCTAAGCTAAATATGATGACGAGAATCATGACAATTAATCTCAATACGTTTGGTTTATTCATGAAAAATTGAATCACGAGCTGTCTTTTAATAATAACTCTAATTGTCAAAACAAAATGACGTAGGATGACGAAGATAAACAACCATATTTGCAACCAAACAATTTTACAAAAAGTCGAGGTCATGACACGATACTTCACTTCGATAGTAGAAATCCGAGAAATAACATTTTGTTTTTTACTCTTCCATGAAAACAGTAAATCACAAAAGTTGGTGGTCGGCTTGCAGTTTGTCGAATCACCAACCTAATCAACATCAGAGTAAGCTATACAAGTTTAATGACGATGAGGAAGGAAACAAGAAACCCTAAAACTGAGTTTCTCGAAGATACTTGAAATACAAAGATGTGATGTCCTACATTGGTTGGGAGGAGAACAAATCACTAACGGTGTGGAAATCTTTCCCTTGCAGACGCATTTTAAAGCCTTGAGAGGAAGTCCGAAAGAGAAATCCTAAAGAGGACAATATCTGCTAGTGGTGGATCTGAGTCGTTACAAATGGTATCATAGCCAGACACCAGACGATGTGTCAGCCTTCTCGCTGTTTCTCGAAGGGGGGTAGGCACGAGGCGGTGTGCCAGTAAGGACGCTGTACCCCAAAGAGGGTTGATTTAAGGGAAGCTCGAAAGGAAAAACCGTCAGTAAAGACGTTGGGCCTCAAAGGAGACTTGAAAGGGAAAACTCAAAAAAGACAATATTTATTAGCAGTGGATCTTAGTCGCTACAAAAGAACAGCAACCCAACGAAACCAGCCAAATCAATATTGGGATGCAAACTAGGATCTTAATGGACAGCAACTATGTATTTAAAATTTAAATAATCTCTTAAAAATGTATTTAAATAATAACAATAATATTACATATAAAAATAAAAATAATAATTAATTCATTAATTATTTTATTTTGAAACACGTGTTTGAAAGAATATTTTTGGAGGAATTAGTAAATTATCACGCACTTCGTATTTAATATAAATTATTATTTTTAAAAAGGCCAATATATATTTTTATTTTCAATTTAATGATTAATATGACTTTGTCTTAATTTATAATTATAATTATATATATTAAGGAGAAAATTAAAATTACAAATATGCAATCAACCTATATTATTTTAAAAATTTGAAGATGTGGAAATAATTAATTTAAAATTAATTAAAAATGAATAATTTATAAGCCACCTCACAATATATATAATAATTTATAAACCATGTGAATCTCGCCCAATGTGATCGTGTCAAAGAATTAATTTAGTTTTGTAAGACCCATATCTACAATTTGGATTAGGGTTCAATATTTACGTACCACGTCCCTCCACAAATTTACACGAGTCCTTTTAACATGTTTAAGTACACTTAACTTTAAAGTTTCGTGATTGAGTCACTAAAAATGAATGTACAAGTTATTGATATAAATAGTAATTTAATCGTGTTATTAATATTTTAATTTTATTATTTTTTTTAATGGACGGTCTATTTTAATTCACGAACATATTAATTGAATTTTGCTATAATGTTACGGACTAGCTTAAATATTATTTCTATAAATTTTAAAAATATGTTCGTATTATTTATTTAATCAAAAAAATAACTTTTTAAATTTATTGAAAGAAAAATGGTTAAAACTGATTAATTTAAAGTCGNNNNGGGGGGGGGGGGGGGGGGGGGGGGGAAATCAAGGCATGAAAAACGTGGAAACTGTCATATTATGGTGGGTCCCACGCACGTGAGCCAATTTAAATACATGCATTCTGCACGTGCTACGGTGAGCAACAAATACATTTATTTTATTCCTAATATAGATTTTATTTTATTTTGGAAATATTTTAACTTCTTTTTTATTTAATTAAGGGATGAAATCATATTTTCAAGTTAAATAAAAATAAAAATAAAAAACATTAATTTTGTTTTTTTATTTTGTAATTTCTTTTAAAAAATATTTTCTCCCTATTAAACATTAATTTTCCTATCTTTTCATATATTCTCTCTTTATAACATTATATTTATTTTTAAATAAAAAATTTGAACCAATAAATAAATAAATATATATATAAATTTACTTATTTTGCATATATTTGAAGGATGTTCCTATCTTTTTCACATACTGTTTGTAACATTATATTATTTTTTTTTGTTTAGAAAATATTATTTAGTGTATTAAAATATTTTATATTTTTTAATAAAATTTATATTTTTAATTTTTTTAAAATATATATATATGGAAAAATTTCCATGAAAATCCGTTAAAATAAAGGGAAGATTTCGCTAACAGGAGACGTCAGACGGGATAAAAAAACGAGCTTCACCATTCTCGTTCTGCCACGTGGACATACATATATGCTCCACATTTATTTAATTAGGTACATACATACAATAATGTTATCTAACTTGCTTTAATTCAATACCACTCCTCCTCCTTTGACTATCTTTCCATATATTCATTTATAGCTTCCCAATTTTTTTAAATATCGGGTAATTTATTAAAATGACAAAATATTGGAGTTTTTAACGTTATTCTCATGATAAACACGAAAAACGACTCGTAAATACATTTAACATTTTTCACATTTATATACTTCAATTCAAATCATATTTTGAAAGATTTTTATTTAATAATTTTAATAAATCTATTGAAAAACATAAATTTATGTGGTCTATGTTTTTTATATAAATTTTATGATTATTATTATATGAAATTGTTTTGGATGTGATATTATTATATAAATCAAAATTCTAATAATACAAAAAGAGACTCAACAAAAACTCGACCGAAAACCTAAACTTGATTGAACGAGTTAATCCAGAAAGAAAGACGAAACAAAAGATTAATGAAACTGAGGTTGTCCCTCGTGGCCAACTTCAATTATAGCAGAGCAAGATTCAACAGCTCCTGTCCTATCCGTCCTACAGGTTTCCACCAAAGTGCCTTAAGTAGCCCTCGAAGACTTTGTTTATTCTATCCTATCTTTGAGATTCTCTCCTCACTTTCAAAGATATACGTAAAATTAAATTAAAAAAAATTAAATCAATGGCCCAAATAATCTCAACTAACCCAACTGGATTAGATTCATTATCTAATACATAATACTTAGGTTTAAAAAATTATACAACATAAACATTAAAAAAAAAATGTCTCACCTAAGGGATGAATTTATAAATTTAAATCCAAAAAATAGAGAAAAAAAGGCAATAAAAAAAAAAAAAAAAAAAAAAAAAAAAAAAAAAAAAAAAAAAAAAACTTCTCAACATTATGTATCATCAATACTAGCACATACATACTCTCCACTAGGCAAAAAAATTGGGATTTTGGTATATTCTACAAAACAATTTGGCTGCTGCTTCCATCCTCAAGCCACCTAGTTATAGATTGATTTACAATGGAAAAAATGCTTATTATTGCATAATTATTGGGCCTATACATGATTGTAATATGCTGCTCAAAACAAGCTGAACTTCTCCAGAGCTATGTTCACTCCTAACAAGATCTACCAACAATGGGAAAAGCCGTTGAACACACCTTTTAAATAGGTCCCTTTCGAACCGGCGGATAACCTCCAACGCCGAGACGACTAGAGATGTACGAGCAGCCACCTCTTCCTTCTTTGCTGAGCCCAATGGAAGAATCCAATGTAGCACAGGCTGGTTGGGTTCTTTCTTCTCACTCGGCACCCCTGTACACTTCAAGTAAATATGCAAAATTTGTTCGCAAACTACGACCAGTTCGGATTCTACGAGAGTTGCGTTAGTCAGTGAAGGACTTTCCGCGAGCATATTTTGGAGGAAGTTGAGGTAGCTCCGATAAGACTCGTTTTCGAAGTGAACCACGGGTGGGTCGGAAATCTCGAGGATGGAGCAAGCTTTCTGTAGCTTCTTATGAAGGACTGTGTTGGAATTCAGTTTCTGGGAATGTGTAGCAACGGAAGAGAAGATATCCAGAATGATGGAAATGTTGGCTTCTGAGAAAGGTTGGGTATGGCTCTTGTACAGATCAGTAATGACCTGATCAAAGAAATGAGGAAAAATTTTATATCCAAGAAAACAAAAACACAAAAATTGAAACATGAGAAGGAAGCTGACCTGTATGATGAGGAGTTGCATTGCGATATGACTCTTCATCCTCGAAACAATGTAGGACGCCATCTGCAGATCGTCGTCGTCAAGACCATCAGCCGACAAACCTTGATCAGAAGCCACATCCACATCATAATAAGATTGAGCGATCCCAAGAACATTGACGTCATCCATGGTTCTCAGGACCTTCATAAACCCAGGCACGGTTAATGTGGCAGCTTGCTTCAAAGCAAGAAAAATCTCTCTCCATTCATCTTCGGTAAGCCTGTTACCCAAGTCGCCTGCCAAACGCATTAATGCAGCAACACCCGTGCTGGCAGGACCCTGGATCGGACTCCTAATGTATCCTGTCAGAATCGACACCACCCCGGGTAGTTGAGACCTTATAACATTGAAAAAGCTAATGAACAGATCTACTAAACAATCTGCCGCCACTGTACAGGTATCAGAATCCCATGTAGTTCCTTCTGAATATTCATCATTTTCATCCTCGTCCATTTCTTTCTTGTCATGCAAAGAACTAAATATGGGGAAAACTATGGTATTGATAACACCAACCCAAAACTGACGCGAGAAAAGATGGCCATGATCTTTTAGGATATTAAAAAGTACTTCCAAGGAACTTTTTCTGATTGGTGATCTAGGATCAGAAGTTAACTTTGATAGCCCTGAAAAGACGATGGCAAAAAGATTAACTATATAAATTCCTATCCAAATTGAGTCTGCAAGATTGAAACATGGAGGCCATATGAAGGCCTCGTATATACATTTCAAAGGACAGAGTGTAACCCAATAACATTAACGGTTAGTAGTATAGAAATTTTAAGTCATAAAATTGTATTCCCACGACAAAAATTACTAGAAAAATGCATCAAAAAGTGAGTTCCCCGACTTATGCATGTATTATAGAGAAAATAATTGCATCTCATCCAGCCAAAAATTGAGTTTTTAACAGAAGTTTCACCTGCAAGTAAAGGAACCCAATAGGAAGCATAATCGTCCTTATCTGTGGGTACGGGTATGGATGGGGGTGCATCAGGAGTATTGGATGAAACATTATCTCCAGTCATCTCGTAGCAAACAAGTCCCCCTTCTGCAAGCTTTACAGCACAAAACCGAAGGAACGCAATGGCATTGAGACTGACATCACTGTTAAATCTACTATTTGTGAAAGTGATGAGACACCGAACGCAATCGGTAAATGTTGTAGTTTCAGTCTCTGTTATATAAGGAAAATATTCTCGAACTATTTTTTCCATCGTTTCAAAAGCCAATAAGACAATATTCTTCCGCTCATCAGCAGCAGCAGCAGTGAAAACCTGAGACAATAGTGGAGAATAAGGTGATGGAATTAGATGACTACTCCATTATACTCATAAAAAATAGTCATAATTGGGAGGGAGAACTCGTAAGATCTCTTTATCGAATCTATTTAATATTTCCTCGTCTAGAAGCATACATCACATAATATGAATTTTCAATTCAGTTTTTTGAACTGAAGTTCCTTCCCCATTAAAATTAGCAATCCACGAGTTGAGAAAAAAAGTTCGAGGTGCCGTAGAAGGGGCACTAAAATTAAAAGACATGAGTAGATCTACCCAACCCCATTGTTCAAATTTTCTGCTCTAGCAATACGCCAGTATTGTGACACCCAAAATTATAATATTGGTGTTTGGAACGTACCATAAAAACACTTTTCCATCCAGATTTGACATTGTTGACACGACTGAGAACCATTTGCGAAATGCACCGAACTATTAATTCCCTGATTTCCGTGGAGTTGCTTTTCTGCATAACAATTACGAAAGGTCTCAGAAATTCATTCTGGAAGTTATAATTTGCAAGCTCCTCACGCTCCAAAAACTTCATCGCAAGCTGCCTCAGTGAATCCATCACAAATATTGCAACCGATAGATTCTCTGATAAGCCAACTGACACAAAGAAATCAGAGAGAACACTCCACATGCGAGACCACACCAATCGGATGCGGTTCATGTTGTAATGCCTGCAAAAGAATCAGTGTCGTGTGGTGATTTTTCCCATTCCATTTCTAAATGTCCTCAAGTCAAGAGAGACTGTAGAGTCGACAAATTAAGCAAATATGAAGCATTACCTAAACTGAAGATTAAAATATATGTCTATGTGTACATATATGTATGCATGTATGTATGAATATATATGTGTGTGCGCGCGTGAGTGTGTGTGTGTGGGCGCACGTATATATATTTATGTGTGTATGTATATGTATACGTGTGTGTATGTGTCTGTGTGTATGTATATAGATGAAGTGACTCAAGGTAAAGACAACGATCTTACGCCACTTCAACTAATTTAGTGAGGCTGAACACACGTGGGTCTGTTGGAGACTGCAATTCTGCAATAGCAACTTTGCATAGGGCCTTCACAAATGCTACTATTGCTTCACTGTTCAAACTTTGACTATGAGCAAATACGTGGTTCAACTCAAAATTGCCTATTTGATCCAGCAAATTCAAGTTTGAAATAAGATGGTTAATCTGTTCAGGAGTTACTGGTCCTGGAGTATTCGCTCCATGAGAGGTGCTGTCATATGAACCTCCACGAACAACAGCCATAACAGCTGGATTTTGAAGACCTCCCTTTTTCTTCAGAGATGACAGACCTGCCGACTTCAGCACTTTCTCTTCAGTTTCAATATTGGATGATGTCAAAAATGACGCATCCGGTGGTGCACCCTCTCCCAATAATTGTAAGTTCTCAATTCTAGAGAGACATGTAAATATGTGCTCCCATGCCTCTTGAAGGAAATTACCATCCTCTATGGCAATAGAAATTATAGCCTGCACGTGAGAATTGATTCAGGAGAACAAAAGAAAAAAATCATTTATCATTCAAAAGGAAAACATTTTCACGGAGTTGCAAAAAATGACCATACACCACAGATTATGTAATTAGCTCTTCATGTATAATTCAATATGATGTGAGAAAATAAACGTATCTAAAGATTATTGTCCTCATCACAATGTTCACACATTGGACCTAATTTGATAAGTTTAATAGCTTGAAGATGTTAGATGAGAACATGCTTCAAAACGGTGAAAAAATGGGCATCCGTTTCATAGCCTAAATAAGCCACCATGTTTTAGCAATATTCTCAATTTAGTTGGGAAATACAGAAAATTGCACCTACAGTTTAAGTTCCCTCCATTGGACAATTTTTATAGAAGAAAAAACTATTTCTGATTTAATGATGAGAATACGCAAACCTTCACAGCTTCAACATTTTTTTGTTTCATATCGGCAGCACAATGAAGATTGGTAAACTTAGCCATTGATGTCACGAAAGCATCCCTTTGAGTCTGCAAACCCAGAACGGCTGTAACGTGTACAGCAAACCGAAAGCCTAGTAAGCATTGAGAAGTAGCAAGCTTATCATCACTTTGGTCAAGAGTCACACTGAATGCCGCCAACATAGGACCCCAGCAGGCTTCCACCATAAACCTCAATATTGTTACATCAGTCACAGCGTGATAAACAGACCTGCAAATACAGATAAACAAAGGAGTTTCCTTTTTTTTTTAGTAATAAGAGCAAGTGCCTAATTTTTTAAACGCCTCAACAAAAAATAAAATCTTCCATAACGAGCCAGAACACAAACAAATTACAATGGAAAACTATTGCCACAAACAAAACTCAATTTCTCACTAGCAGATTGAATTATCAACATAGATTTCATTTCATAGCTTACTCAGATTTTCCAGACTTCGCCTTAAACTGCTCCTGTATGTGCCTTATAAGAAGCCCGTTTGCACCCACAGCTTTTTCTTCTGTCTGCTTCCAAGAAACTAGATTGAGTATACCATCTAAGCCCAAAAGTTTGTTGATGCTAGTTGCCTGCTTACTTTGTGAAGCTGAAGAATCAGAATTCATCTTAATTTCATTCCTAACAATCTGATCGTAAAGAGCACCCAGATACTCATCAGGTAAATCTTTGCCATCATCAATTCCTCGATTATTCCGGATAAAATCAGCTTTCGTCATCTGAATATTCAACCAAAGCACAACAGAAGTAAGGAACATACCTCAATACAGTAAGATTTATAAAAAATAATTATAATAATAATAAATAAATAAAGCTCAGATTTCTTATATCAACGTGCAAATAAAACTGAGGAATGAAAAGCAGCAGAATATGATATATATTTCAGTAATAGTTGCATGCATTCAGCCACCAAACAAGAAAAACTATCACCAAAATCAAGTTTTATAAATCTTAAACATGCAATAAATCGGACAAACTTCTGTGAAATCTCAGGCATGCATGCCGCCCTTCAAATCTCTCACATACTTTTGCAGTCAAGATGGGGCAGTACTATTCTAAGGCTTTTTATCCCTTCTGTCTAAAATAACCCACTGGTTCACAATCAATAACATCTTCACCATCCAACATTCGGAGATCTTGGCCAAGTGAATGAGATACAGTTGGAATTAATCCAAAAAGTAGAAGTAACCTAAATATCATCTAGATTTATAAACAGACTATTAACATGCACTATCCAATCAAATGCGTAAGTTAGAGCCAAACCTTATCTTTCACCATGTTATTATGAGCATCTGTGTTCAGCATAATAACAGAATAAGCAAGAACATAAGCAGTATCTGCACTTGTGAATGAACCAGGGCTACATTTACAGTACCGCTCAGCAAACTTCTCCATGATACGGTCAATTTTTTGGGCCTCTCCGGGTAACCTGAAGCCTCGCAGGAAAAACCTTATTGCTTCACCAAAGTCCATCGCTTTAAAATTAAATGAATCAACATAAGCATGCATAACTTTCAAAGGGAATTCCTCCCTTTCACCCAAATAATCTCCAATGACTCTTTCATTCAGGCCGTTAGTATTCTTGAGAAAAGACGCCACCTCTTCAGGAGAACCACCAACTTTTTTTGTGCTAATCAGAAACTCAATACCCCTGGAAGGTTTCCTGTTGAACAGCGAAATACCTTTCTGAACATAATACAGGAAAGTTGTCAGAACAATGTGCTTCAGACTAACTACCTCTAAGATGAATGTGTCTGAAATAATAGATTCTATGATGAATATGTTCTAACCAAACAACATATGAGGAAATTGTCAATTCAACTAACAGAACCAATTAGTAAGAAACAAAATGTGAAAATAAGTATGATTAGAAAGATGACCAGCCAAGAAGGAAATGAAAATAGCGAGAAGCAAAGAGCTTTCTAATTGGCCAAAATGCCATTGCAAACAGATGACCTACCTACCTCCCTTGAAAAACTCCAAAGCAACCACACGACAGGAACCCCAACTATTAGACACTAACTGAACCCAGGCAAGAGCATCATCTACCCTTCTTTGCTTTGAAGATAACAGAAGAAACGCAATCTCTAACCCAGGCCAAAATTCCCAACTGTAAGCACTCTAGTGGATCTACTCTTTTAATAGATGCCAATATCTTATAGTACACTATAGATATTAAAAGTGGTAGTGTCTAAAAGAAAATTTTATAACTTTGAAGTAGGTAAAGATGAAATTAAAAGTATCAGTAAAAAAAAAAAAAAAAAATTGAGTTAAGACCATAAAAGTTTTAAACATGTACACTTAAATTGATTGGTGAATGACATAAGTGCCTTTAATGGTAAGTGCCTTTAATGGAAGCTGAGCTTTGGAAGTACTGAGATGTAGAAAACTTTCCTGCCTTAATACGAGCTGAAAATTAAAAAAGGAAGATTCCTCTACCACCACTCTTTTCCCCTAGCCATTACCTATAAACCGTAAGGTTTTTGTTCAAAAAGAATTAAACTTTTAAAATTTTCTTCCTACACAAACACAAACAATCCTCTTCATTTGTACTTTAAAAGAGAAACAGTTAGAAAGGAAGATAATTTTTTTTCTCAAGGAGTATAGAAACTCTTTCTCTGTCTCCTACTGGAGTACCTAGATAGAAGTAATTTTTTTTAAAGATGCCTAAGTGGATCTTTTTGTCACCTCTTATAGTGAATCTAACCTAGGAATGGGAGGATGTCCTATCTCCCTTCCCTTATTGTTAGTTTCTCTTTAATTATGAAGTGATTTCTGACCCAAATTCCCTTGTGATAAATAACCATAGGGAGACCATAGAAATAATTCTGCCCCAAGAACTGCACCTCATTCCAGTTTTCTTCACAAACTTGTGAATATCTACATTGTTTCTCTTCTCAAAGAAAAAAAATTGTGAACACCTAAATCTCCCAAGAAATTTTTGAAACTCTACTTGAAACTCTACTTCATCTGGGAACTTTGTTAGGAGAGATTAGTAGTATCTTTACAACTCGTCTTGACTTCCTTCTTAACTCAGTTCTCTGTATAGTTTATACTGGTGGAATTATCCATTTTCTAACTATAGCTTCTGTATACTATTAGCCAAGTGGAAGAACTTTTGGAAATCCACCCATGGACTTTTGAGCTTTATGCCATCTTTTGTATGTTTCATTTACAAATGAAATCATCGTCTCTTCCCCTCCCAGACACCCCCACCCCCGCCAAAAAAAAAACATCCCAATAAATTGCCATCATAGGATTTATTCATTCTATACTAGTTTGAACCTTCATATTGCCACAATTTCCAGCAGGAGCCACCACTCGTCACCCACCCTCTACATAAATAAAATGTATTAACTAGAGAATAAATAATTCTCAAACCTGGAGCTCGATTTTGTAAGCTCTGCGTTGCTCAAGTGTAGCAGCATCTGAGAACTCAGGATTTCCATCAGGATGGAGCTCAGAATCAACAGCAGCTGTTTCTTCCCCACTTAAACAATTCTCAAGTGAAACATCACTCTCAGAAGTCTTGAGAAAATATGTATCATCCAGCTTCAGTTGTTGGTCCATCCAAGTTCCCATTGATTTAATGATGCTTACCAAACACTTAACAGATTCATGCCTAAATGTAATATCTTGTGCTGGAGACAATGTTGAGGTTGAACCAGAAGGCGGTCCAAGAGCAGTTTTCAAAAGGCCATTCACAATCCTGCAAATATTTCAATATAAGGGTAACATCACAACATCAACGTCAAACCAATCCCCCACAAAAAAAAAAAAAATTCCTCTCTTACACAAGCAGAGGAGAGGAAGAAAATTGTCAACCCTCGAGAAAACAAAGGAAAACTATAGTTTTATCCAGAGTAAAACAAAATCAACATCTGAAACAAAAGGCATGGAAAGAGCAGTACCTCTCGAAAATATTTGGAGAATCAACATCACAATCATAGTTGACAAAAATATCCACCATAATCTGTGAATCCTGAGATATCTTATCCAATAAATTGAGCACGGTCATTTTCTGCAAGAAACTAGGCTGAAGTACATTCTCAAGCACTCGGAGGACAAGCATGGGAAAAAAGATACCAATTTCTGCTTTCAGTCCTGATCTAAATTTTGTCAACAAGCTCATAAAAATAGAACATTGAATCTGGAAGATGGCCATTGCCGACAGGGCACTGTTTTTTAATAATGATAAGCAAAGAAACTGCTTGATAGAATTGAGAAACCTGAAACCAACAGTGACAGAACCTGTCACAGTTTATCCAATCAACAATAGCTTACTACAAAGTACTCAGACCAAATAAAACGTTAATTTGGAAAAGGGGCATGTGTCATAAGAAGCTTGAAAATGCTCTAGATTTTTCAAAACAAAATAAGATTATATTCTGAATGCCCGAAGTAATTTCTCCCAATGAAAATACCTAGTTTAAAAAGATAAAATCACATATAATTATTAGGTAGAAAACTAGATTGGTCAAGGTTTTGTATCAATCGTGGAGTTTCAAGGCAGTTATAAAGACTTCCATGAGTAACACTAAAATGATCGATGAAGAATGAAATGCTTGCCTCTCGTTAAGGCGCCAAACTGGCCCTGCCTTATCCATAATCACCTTTAGCAGTTCCAGAGACAGTGTTTTGCCCCTTAAGAGGATCTGATCATCTGGGTGCTCCGGGGATGAGAATTTCATTGACAACTTACACAAATTCTTAAACAAATGAAATCCATCCTCCCTAATCTTACTACAACCACCTGATTCGGCTACATCTTCCGTTTCTCCCACATCAGATTCACCTTTATTGTCAGCTTTAAGTGGCGAAGCATTGCCATTCTGCAATTGTCCCCAACTTGAAAATAGTTTCTTATCCGCAACCCCTTCGCTGGCATCCATTACCTCATTAATAAAGTTCTGGCAAAAATATATAGAATTGCCTTCATTCAAGTTCTTGTCGGTAAATTCCAATAATTCATTCACAGAAATTATACTCGCAGGAACATCCATGGAGTCTTCCTCCATCCTACTGAAAATAATGATCATTATTTGACCTAGAACGGATTTTGCACAGATCTGATTCGTACCACTCAAGCCACCGAGATACACATTGTAACAAGTCCGAACAACATTAACCAAACAATCCCCGCGGATCAATACACAAGGGCATCGAACCGCAGAGAGCAACACCCTGAGAACAGTGAGCTCAATTCCTTCATCACCAAGACCTCCCGACTTGCACACAGACTCAACGATCCTAAACACAATGGAACTAGCACCAGAATTCGCCTCGCCATCCGGCCTCTCGATCTCGCCACGGAATAGACCGCGGGAGAACAATTTGAAGACGCACTCAAGCGCGGGCTCAGCAACCTTGACGTAGGCGGCATCGAGGGCCAAAAGGAGCGGTTGGAGCACAAACTCCGCATCAGCCGGTGAAAGGCCAGAAATCGGGGAAGCAGGATCAAGAGAAGCTTCCGAAATAGAATCAAGCTTATCGAGAACGGATTTGCAAGAGGAAACAAGGTGAGAATGCTTACGCCAGGCCGCGTTCTTGACAATCTTATCGAGGGAAGGGCCGATCGCACGGCCGCATCTGGACTTGCCACCTAGGGCTTGCGAAACCGACATTGGTGCAGAATCAAAGAACAGAAATCCATTCAGCGAATCATGGTTGAAATTGAATTGAATCGGAAGAAAATTACCAGTGGTAGCTTCAATTTAATGTCCAATTCGAAGCTGAATCTGTTCATGGGCTCATCGATTTTGGATTTCCCCCTTTTCGGTTTGGCCCTCGGTTTGGTGCCAAGTCGCAGGCTCTGTGAGTCGAAACTTGTTCAACAAAAGCACACAGAAAGAGCGATGAGAAAGAGAAATGAGAGAAACCCGATAATTACGTAAACCGGAAATTTACATCGTAACGCAACGGTTGGGTTGGACTCAGTGCATCACACGCGCCTTCTTAATGTGGACAAAAAATCAATTTCTTTTTTTTTTTTTTTTTTAATATTGATATAATTTAATGTCAAACATATAAAATTTGAATTCTCATTTTAAAATTAAAATAATTATTATTTTAAAATTCAAATCCCTCGTTAAAAAAATTCAAAATCAAACGTAAGCCTAACTTATTACTTAGTCAAGAAGATATTTATTTATTTTTTAAACGAATGCCTACGGGTCCAACTTTTAACTTCAAAGAAGGGACGATTGTTAGCTGATCGGCCATCATTAACTCTATGTAGACATCATTTATCACACAATACACGAGCTTTTAGCCATGCAATGGGAGGACCTATTAGTACGGGAGGCGAGCTTACTTTCCCTCGTATGAGATCATTGATTTATTCAAAACTTCGCTCCCGAGGCACTCAAAATCGATAGGTTTACAAGAGACAATTGCTTCAGTTTTGCAGCCTCCTTCGTTTTTTATAACACGAATCTAGATAATAGTATCACGTTTCAAAAATAATCTAAGATGCATTCTTTCTGTCGAACGAAAGAATATTTATAGCCTTTCAGTAAATAAAGTGAGACATTTGATGGTTCGGATCTCTCTGGTAAAAACGAAAGCATAATTCCTTATTATTCATCACTTAATCCAATCCTACCTATGTACGGGTCAATCTAATCTCATCCTGTTATTTTCCACGGTAATTCTGATTGATCCATATACGATTGTATGGTAAAAAAAAATGAAAAAACAGATTAATACTATCTTTAATATTTTAGGCATATTTTTTTAAATAAGTATTAGTAATAAATGTACTAATAATGTAATTTTTAGATATTTTTAAAAGTTTAAAAATATTATCAAACAAATTTATCTTCAGTTAAAAATACTATTTTGTTAATTTATTTAAATTTAATTTTTATACTTTCAATAAAACCAACTTTTTATTTTTTTAATAAAAATGATGAAATAATAATAATAATTAAAAAAAATTAAAATGAGAATATATTTTTAAAATTTATAGAAAAAAGAGTAATAAAAATTAATAATGAACTAAAATTCAATTGTTTAAGGTTTTTATTATTTAATTGAAAATATATTTTATATATAAACCTTTAAACCCTTCTTCTCACGAACTGATTCAGGCGGAAAGAAAAATGGCGGTTCATGGATGATTAAGAGTTGGGCTGGGACTTTTCGCCGGAGAGAGCATCTAACAATGATTTTCTTGGCAACTTCTCCGTCGCCGACGATTCTCGGTCCTCCGTACGAGTTACTGAGCGGCGGTGGGAAAGCATGTTGCCTGCGGCTAGGAAGGGCGGAGAAATATCGGAGAGTGATAGTGAGCCAAGGAACCTTAGCATTGAAGCGATTCAAGCGGTACAGTCGCTGAAGTGAGCCAAGGAAGATTTACAACAATTGGACCGAGTGTACGATTCCGAAGTTAAGGCGCTTATTGAAGTTCGATATGATGGCTGTTCTTCACGAGCTCATTCGTCAGAACGAGTGTTCTTTGGCTCTTAAGGTGATGCATCTGCTTTAGATTTTTATGTTTATCCGCATCTTCGATTTATTAGCTACCGGAATTATTCCATATTGCACGATCGGTATCGATTGTTGAAGAATTATCACAGCAATAGCGAGATATGGATTTCTGCTTATGGTAAATTCCTTCAATATTCCTTGCTGATATTTTGTATTACTTTACTGTTGATATTTGAGACTTAGGTTTTCGAAGATGTTAGGAAGGAACACCGGGACAAGCCTCAGGTTTCGCTGTATGCTGATATTATTACATTATTGGCTAGCAGTGGATTGTTCGAACAAGTAAAAAATTATTCATTCCTATTTGAGAGCAGAAACTGACGTAGGGCCTGGTATTGACGGGTTTAATGCTCTTTTGTGAGCTTTGGTTTGTTATAATTTAGGTGAACTTGTGATTGAGTCCTATTATTGATGAAAGAAGTAGGTTGCGAGCCGGATAAGACTTCATTCAGGATTGTCATAAAAGGACTGGAATCATCTGGAGAGGCTACTGGTTTAAGAATGTGAAGCAGGGTGTGCACAAAAGATTTATGGTGAATCGCTCGAGGTTCTAGAGGAAGAAGACCCGCAGCTACAGCCATATCTACGCATTGAGCTGCTGATCGGGCTTTGAATCATGGAATAGAAGGCGTATACTGATTGAACTTCTGGCAAGATGGAGTTCGTCAATGTTTCCTTTGAAGAAACCTGAAAAGACCGAGAAACTTCCCTTGGAAATGAACTTTTGGGATTATGTTTGATTGGATAAATGACACTAGTTGGATAAATTGTATCCGCAAGTATACTCTCTTTCCCATGTTCTTGTGCTTCAGTTTCTCACGCTGCTGGGATCCAAACACTTTCCTTACCTGCTTGAAACTGTCATTGGTTTATGCAGAGAAGAGCTGATCATCTGGCAACATACGTCAGCTCTTCTGCCGTGAGGATGAGAACTTCATCTAAGTCCACCTAATGCAGAAATGTTAGGAAAAAAGCTGGATTATAAAGCAAAGTGAATGGTACATAATTTCGTTTTCCATCCAAAAGAGTACTGAAATTTATGTTGAATACATTAGGACATAACATGTAACACACCACCCAAACTCACTACTAGCAAATATTATCCTCTTTGGGTTTTTCCTTTTGGGTTTCCCTCGGTTTCCCTCAAAGTTTTTAAAACGCATCTTCTAGGGAGAGGTTTTCACACTCTTATAAAAAATGTTTTGTTCTCCTCCTCGACCGATGCGACATCTCACAATTCACTCCCATTCGAGGCCCAACGTCCTTGTTGGCACACCGTCTCGTGTCCACTCCCCTTCAAAGTCCAGCCTCTTTGCTGGCACACCGTCTCATGTCCACCCCTCTTCGGGGCTCAGCCTTCTCATTAGCACATCATCCGGTGTTTGGCTGTGATACCATTTGTAGCGGCTCAAGCTCACTGCTAGTAGATATTGTCCTCTTTGGACTTTTCCTTTCGGATTTTCCTTCAAGGTTTTTAAAACGCGTATGCTAGGTTGATGTTTCCACACCTTTATAAAGAATGCTTCGTTCTCCTCCCCAACCAATGTGTAATCTCACAAAACCAGGTTTGGTATTGCTGCATTGCCTTTCGAAAAATATACAGTAAAGATGAAAACTATGTGGGCTCGACGCCCAGACTGCTAATTTTGTGCAGTCTGATTCTCATGTGTTTACACATCCAGAGATTTAACATGCCAGTGTTCTTATGTTCAAAGCTTCTGGTTATATTTCATAATGAAGGCCTAAAGTTTTGAATATCCCTAGCTGCATAACGATGTCAAAATTGTTTCCCTTCAAATGTCTGCCCGAACTGCCAGTTTCCAGGTGCAACACCATAGGAAGTAAGTGCTTTTCCACTGCTAGAGGCAACTTCAAAAGAGAGAGGGTTGCCCATGAAGATTGACATTACTTCGCCAGTTTTGTCCCCAGTTCCTTGCCAGAGGTATCCATCCTGTTCTTGATCCCTTCACTTTCACTCCCACTAATTCACCATCCATTCCAACATTAGTAATCAAAACTTGAAAGAATCGAGAATTCCCGCTGACTGTGATCCACCACTTCTGTCACACCTCACCCTACACAATTTAAGACGATTTTCCCCTTAGCTCGAAGATTAGAAAATGTTTGAATCTATGTGCACTTAGATTAATTTTACCTCCTATATTGAACTGGCACAATATCTGCTTTTTTCTCTGCTATTTCAGCAAATGCTGCCTCTGACATCTCGAAATGTTCTTTGGGAAAATTGCACCATCCACCATAATCAGAAGATAGGCCATAATTGGGAGGACAGAAGTCGGTGGCGGTTAGAATGACGGTACGACTTCCTTCCAAGCACCACAAGATGTGGTCAACGCATCTAAGCTCAAAGCATGCTCCACAGGTACTCCCTCCATTAAACAACATGCTACTCAATCCAGCACTATGTTTTCCATAGCGAATCTTATGTAGATCTCCATAACCCCACCTTCTGCAACATTAAATACTAGTTTGTGTTAGAAATCACGACTCTCCACAATGATATGATACTGTCTACTTTGAGCATAAGCTCTCGTGGCTTTGCTTTGGGCTTTCCCAAAGGCCTCACACCAATAGAGATAGTATTCCTCACTTATAAACCCATGATCATTCCCTAAATTTGTCAAGGTGGGACTCCATCCCAACAATCTTCAACAATCCTCCCCTCGAACAAAGTATACCATAGAGCCTCTCCTGAGGCCTATGTAGCCCTCAAACAGCCTCCCCTTAATCGAGGCTCGACACCTTCTCTGGAGTCCTCGAACAAAGTACACCCTTTGTTCGACACTTTAGTCACTTTTGACTACTCCTTCGAGGCTCACAACTTCTTTGTTCGACATTTGAGGATTCTATTGACATGGCTAAGTTAAGGGCATGACTTTGATACTATGTTAGAAATCACGAATCTCCACAATTGTATGATATTGTCCACTTTGAGCATAAGCTCTCATGGTTTTGCTTTGGGCTTCCCAAAAAAGTCTCATACCAATAGAGATAGTATTACTCACTTATATATCATTCCCTAAATTTGTGAATGTGGGACTGTTACTCCCATTTTTGTTACAAAATGCCAGCCATGGTTAACAACTCCCACAGGATATGAGTTGCAGGGTGGCACGTGAGCACCCAAATAGATCTCGTTTGAATTTTGTTTTTCAAAAATTATGCTTTGTGCTATCTACCTTTTAACTCATGATCCCAAAATCCAAGGTAAGAAAACCAAAACTTTAGCTTTTCAAAACTCATTTTTATTTTTAGAATTTTAAGAACTCAAATGTCTCCTTACAAATTTTAAGAACTAGGCGGTTATAAAACACCATGTTTAAACACTTGGCAATTTTATGAGTTTTCTGGTGAAGGAAAAGAATACCTGCAATGATTGACCCATCTATTTCTTTGGTGTATGTTGCAGTAGCAGATTTCCACTCTTCATCCTTAGCCGCAAAGGGTGTTGGCAAAAGAACCAAGTAGACTATCATAGCTATAAATGCAGCCATTTCATTCAGAAGAGTACAAGGCCTTGCTTGAAGAAGAAGCCTGAAAGGGCTCAAAATGAGGTATATTTCCTTTATGAAAACACCCTCTTCCCAGCCTTCTTTTTTCAAAATTCCCCTAATTTGTCGCTGAAATGAACTGAGCTTCTCTGATTGCAGGATCTCTATTCAGAAAATCGACAAACTTTTGATGTTCAGAAAATCGGCAGAGGAAAAGACACGCACATTGTTCATCAGCCTCCTCCTGTTCTTTATCTTCATGTCCCCGCCGTGAGTGGTGGCTCAAAGAAGCAAACTTGGAGGAGCCTCATTTTTTGCTGTTATCGAGGTAGAAGGGTTCGAGGCTTTATGTTGATGGCGGCAGATACAGAGTGGAAAGCCATAGAAACAGGTATGTGTTTCCAGTATATAATTTAAGATCCCTTGAACAAAAGAAGAATCTCTTATAAGAACCCCTTTTAAAAAGGCTTTGGTGTTCATGGCTTATCTTTTAATAACACAAAGGTAGTGGGTGGGTCATAGAGTTGGAATACGTGGATTGCCGGGAAACGGTGCTAGATGACATTTTTTGGTTTTCTTAGGCTTTTATTTTGTTTTATTTTATTTTCTTTTTAATTTTCATGGATTTAATAAATTAGGTTTTCTCCTAGATCTTTTTTTTTTATATATATATAATTTTTTTAATAGGTTTTTTTTTTTTTTTTTTATATATATATATATAGTTTAAATTTGGTCCCCAAACCCAATAATCTCAATTTATGCCGAAATTAAAAAATATAACTTCATTTAAGTTTTAGTTAGTTAAATTAGACTAAGTTAAAGAATAGTAGGAACAAAATATTCTTTTACAAGATAGAAACTTATCTTTAATACATGCATGAAGGGATGATAATGTATAACAAACCAAAATGAATAATATCTACTAGCAATGTTGGACTATTATCATAACAAACCAAAATGAATAATTGGACTGTTATAAATGATATCAAAGTCAGACACTAATCAGTGTGTCAATAAGGACGTTGGTAACACTAACAGACTAAAATGAACAATATCGACAAGTGGTGGTCGTGACCTGTTATAAATGATATTAGAGCCAAACATCGAGTAGTGTGTCATTGAAGATGTTAGGCCTCCACTGGTGTGATGTGGATTGTGAGGTCTCACATTAGTTGGAGGGGAGAACAACTAAGTATATGCAACCTCTCCCTAGTGGATTGTGAGGTCCTACATTAGTTGGAGGAGAGAACCACTTATAAGTATATGAAACCTTCTACTTAAAACTATGATATATAACGAGCCAAAATATACTACTTGTCGGCGATATAACAACTATATATAATGAATCAAAGTAGACAATATTTGTTGGCGATATATAATATCTATCTATTGGTGATAGGAGTTATTACGAAGTGGTTTTATTCTTTTCCAAAATATTTGCGAATATATTTTTTTTATAAAAAAAATTACATTTATAATCAGGTTTAAGAGTTTCATTCAAACTTGGTTTGGTAACCTATAAACTCTATTCCCTTGTAAAACATTACTAAAGAATACACATTTTAAGGATGTGCCACAAAAAAAAAAAAAAAAAAAAAAATCGAAATTGTATTCATTGTAATCATTGGTAATCTTGTTGCGTTGTAATATCTTTCAAATCAACAACATTGACGATGTCTAAAAAAAATAACACATTTTCAAGATGTGCTACAAAAAAAAAATGTTAAAATTGTATTCATTGATAATCTTGTTGCGTTATAATATCTTTCAAATCAACAACATTGACGATATCTTCAAAAATATCATTCTTTATCACCTCTTTGTGGTGGTCAATCTTTTCCTCCTTGGTGTCATCACTATTATCATCATTATTACTCTCTTGAGATTCATATAGATCAATTGTTGTTCGATCTAAAGTCCCTTCTATGTAAGCATAATGAATATTTTCTTTGTACATTCGACACCAATTCCTATTTTGATCTTGGTTTTGATCTTGGTTTTGAGACAGTGGCAATCCTCTACAAGTAAACAACATAAAATTGTTTTAAAAATATATCCATATATCTCATCATATTGTTTTTAAAAGTTATGAGTAGATGTGTTGATAATTTGTAGAATAACACTCCAAAAAAAGATATATATATATATATATATATATATATCAAACAAGATTCTATATCAATTTAAACAAGTTTTATTTAATGAATACAATAATCACTCATAGAATACGGAAATAAAAATACAAACAGAAGAATCCACGGGCAATTGAGAGGGTTTTTATCTAATATTCACTCAAAAATAAAATTAAATTGTAAAGAAACTAAGATAAATTAGCATTTTGTGTGTGTGTGTGTGTATATATATATATATATGTAAACTTTTGAGAGATTGATTTTAATAATTAGATAATTTTTTTTATTTTTTTATTTTTTCAATTAAAAATATAGACACTACTATAGTTTTTTTTTTTTTTTTTGTTTTGCTTTTTACTTTTTTTTTTTTAAAAAAAGCAATCTAGAAATCTAAGAAAAATTTATAAAACAGAAAAAAACAAAATAAGGTATTTGAATTTTTTTTTTAAAAATGTTTTAAATTTGACTAAAAATTCTAAATATGAAACTTACTTTTTAATTTCTTAAATAAAATATGACATAATCTCATCTATCATCTAGACACCAAATACATAATCATCTTAGTGACTAAATATAAAATCTAATGAAAATTGAAAGAAAAAAACTAAAATTCACAATTCAAATATAAAAATATCAAAACAGAAAGCATATAAGTTCATAACAAATTAAAAAAATTTAAAGGTTATGAACTAGAATTATAAAAATTAAAATTAAATTACCAAAATTAGTATTTTTTGTGGTCAATGGGTGATGAATGCAAAACAAAGGGAAAAGTTAAATATAATATTTAAAGAATTAATTAATTATGACTTTTTTAATAGTAAAAATAAAAACAAAAACAAAGCAGAAGACTAGTTCATTATTACCATTATTATTTTAAATTATCTCTTAATGATAGAGAATATAATAATAAATACGGAAAATATATATGTTCAATTTAACCTTTGTAATTAAAGAACTAAAAAGGAGTTGATTTTCTCTTAACAAATCTTGTTTATTTTTCAGTAGCGAAATTGGTTAAATAACAAAATAAACAGTTTAAATGTAAATGTAGAAATTCAGAAAGAAAAAATAAATCAGAGAATAAATTGAAGTACGTAACTGGTCTGAAGTTATTTTTAAAATAAATAATTTTGTTTTTTAAATTTTTTAAAAATATCTTGATCGTATATGAAACAAAAAATAAAATCATTTTGCATATAAATGATTTTAATTATTTTTTCCTATTAAAACAAATACAATAACTAAAAAAAATCAAAGATCAATTATAAAGAATTAAAGATAATAAAATTATAAATGTCAAATATTGAAAAAGAAATAAGGTTTCGTTCATCGGAGTCGAATGAAGTTAACATTTCCATACATTTCAAATTCATAAATTAAAAGCCAGAACTCAACCAGAAAATTTTGTTTTTACAGTTCATTTTCAACCATTCCAGCAATCAATCGTAATTTTGATAATAGAAATCTCCTAAAATCAGGGTTCAATTTCGTACAAAAACTTGAAAAGAAATATGAAACGACGATGGAACAGAGAATCATTCAAATCAACGAAAAGCGAAACTGCAGACGAAAAAAGAACAGAGAAATTCACCAAAAAGTATTAATAAAAACAAGAGCAATTAAAGATAAGCATGAAATCAAAAGGAATTGACATTCTTACCTAATATGGAAGACATCGGAGATGTTATATTTCTGGAGGTAAAAATTGATTGCGTCAAGAAATGCTCTGTACGTATAAATGTGAAGACCGTCGATTCTCGGATACGGCAATCGCGGTATCGGCGGACGCTCCGTCGTCGACATTGACTTGATCAGGCTATGAGCGCCGGAGTATACGTATGATTTCCAGGAGATTTCGTCGCGGTTAATAACCGGTTCGAGGCCGACAAAGCCTAGAGTCGCCATAATAGGTTCGAGCTCGTCGTGCGTCATGATCGGCTTGAAGGTTTTGGTGAACCACATGACTAATTTCCGCTTGGATTGCTTGAGGTATTCATCCATTACACGGCGGAGTTACGGCGGCTTAATCGGAAAATCGAAGGGTTAAGGTGGAGGGAGAGTGATGGAGAGTTTTTGAGTTTTCTTTGGGAGGAAGGGATCTCGAATGTAGGGATTTGAGAGAGTATTTTTGGAGGGTGGAAGTTTGAAGGAGGACTGCTTTAATAAACCCTCCATATTTGCATCAAATTACTGATTTACCACCGAGAAAAATATTTACCGACTGTAACTGTAATAACATTTTTACTTTTTAGGTTAAATCGATTCTAAATTTTTAAATTTAATTTNACCGCTCATGGTTTCTCAATTTTAAAAAATATCTACATTTTTTCATTAATTATTTATTAATTTAATCAAAATAAATTTTCAAAATTCAATTTAGTATATAATAAATAGGGTTATACACGGATTGAGTTGAGTTGGTTGGGTTAGAAAAATCTTTTGAACGAGCATGAAATGTCGAGCTGGTTGGGTTGGGTTGTGTTGGTGACCTGAGCAACTTAAATAGAGTTTACAATCCAACTTAACCCAGTTCTCTATGTTGGATGATGAAAGTTCCACATCAACACCTCCCCTCGAACTTTCATGATTAACCGATGTGGAACTTTCATCATCCAACACCTCCCCTCGAACAAAGCACGCCTCACACCTCCCCTCGAACAAAGCACGCCTCCCCTTAATCGAGACTTGACTCCTTTGGAGTCTTAGTCATTTTTTACTGCCTTCGTACCTTCAAGGAGGCTTGACTCCAAGTTTAGGGCATGGCTCATGCGATACTTGGAATTGTGGCTCCTGTTCGGCTGTTCATGACCAAGAAAATACGGTGTCCTGGCTGATGTAACCTCAACTAATGAATCTGGATAATGTGATTGAGGGAGGACGGACCTATTCTTGGAATTGAATTGTTAGACGAACACGACTCTCCACAATGGTATGATATTGTCCACTTTGAGCATAAGCTCTCATGCCTTTGCTTTGGGCTTCCCCAAAAGGCCTCGTTCCAATGGAGTTAGTATTCCTCACTTATAAACCCATGATCATTCCCTAAATTAGCCGATGTGGGACTTTCATCATCCAACACTCTATTTTCAAGTTAATCGAGTTTAGCTGTTTTTTTATTTCAACTATTAAGAAAATTATATTTATTCACGTGTAAGATCTCAACCTAATCCAATCATTTAAAATTAAAACGTGTTTGTGATATCCCACATTGGTTGGGGAGGAGAACAAACCACGGTTTATAAATGTGTGAAAACCTTCCTCTAGCAGACGCATTTTAAAGTCTGAAAGAAAAAGTTCAAAGAGAACAACATTTGCCAGCTGTGCCATTACAATGTTTGACTTAGAGAAATTTTATGATAGGTGACCTCTTGACTACGAGAGGTTACCGAAAGAAAAAAAAAATCTATTACTTAAAATTAAAGTTCTTAGTCATAATTTTTGGTAAGATTACCTTGTCAAAACGCACCGTTTCGATTACTTGTGGGCCAGGCTAGAGGAAAAAAGAGTGGCCGTTAACAAACCGGGCCCAATAAAAACTAAGGTCCACTAAAATTCGTTCGTTTTGGTTTTTGGGCGCACACTCTCTTCTTTCTCTTATTCTTCTCTGTAGAAGAAACTCCGTTCCTTCATCTTCCGCCATAGCTTTCTTCACTTGTCGAAACCTAACCAGAAGCTTCTTGGAAGACTGTTGCGGAAGTTGACTGAGATTCTCTTGGAGGTTGTTGTTGGAGGGAGTATTTTACGGTTTCGAGGTGTAATTGGGCGGAATTGGCGATGTCTTTGAGAATAAAGGCGGTGGTGGATAAATTCATGGAGGAGCTTAAGGAAGCCTTGGATGCGGATATTCAAGATCGTATCATGAAGGAGAGAGAGATGCAGAGTTACATTGAAGAGCGCGAACGTGAGGTTGCTGAGCGCGAAGCTGCTTGGAAGGCTGAACTCTCCCGTCGCGAGGTACTTGATTGAATTTTCTCTCTTTCTCGTTGAATTAGTTAGTTTGTTTGTTTAGGATAGCCAATCGATGATTCTGATGAGTTTCCATGGATGTATGCTCATTTTTATATTCCGATGTTCTCACGCTTAATTTAGTCAAGAAGAGTTTTCAGTCCTTGTCACTTCTCTTATACATGCTCGATGTAACGTGAATTCTTTCATTCCGAGTTGTTGAAATGAAGACTTTTGCCCCCAATCTCATCACTCCATAGTTGGATTTTTTAAGCATTCAAATCACAGCTTAGTTGTTAGGGCAGAATTCTTGGTGATGCTTTCACAACTATGTTAGAAACTGATCTTTTTGTGGTAGGTTTGTTTGATATTTTGTTCAAAATTAAGATGGCGAGAGCTTATGTATAGTAGGATGCCTTTCTGCTATCTCTTTAAACTCAAGATTGCACCTTCCTGCTGTGTGGCTCTTACCTTTTAGGTTGTCAAATGCTTGTTTTCTGGACTTTACAAGCCATTACTGCACGGATTATAGGATGCCCATTTCGTTTGTCGCATGTTTTCATATTTTCCTCGAAATCTTGGCAGTAAAGATCAGGAATTCCGGATGATAAGTTTCTATGGGATGTTTGGCATATGATTTTAAAGAGTTGGGAACATGGAGCCAAGTTTGTGTGAAGGAACAAGCTATAGTTTCGCAGGTTTGGTTTTTGTAGATTTACAACCGAGAGACATTAGCATATGGTATAAAATGTGGCAAGATTAGGATTTGTTTACCAATAATGGGTATAGTGCCAAGGGAAGTATTAGATAGCTTCTCCTTCTCTCCCAATACAGCAATTGTCAAGCCAAAAAGATGCCCAACCAACCCTTGCTAACAGACCATACAAAGACCCATCTCAAAAACATTCCCGAGTGGGGATATTGTTCTTTTTGGGCTTTCCCTTTCAGACTTCCTCTCAAGATTTTTAAAACGCGTCTGCTAGGGAGAGGTTTCCACACCCCTATAAAAAATGCTTCATTTTCTTCCCCAACCGATGTGGGATCTCACAATCCACCCCTTTTCGAGACCCAACAGGACGCTAACACTTGATCCCTACTCCAATTGATGTTGGACCCCCCAATCCACTCCCCTTCAAGGCACAACGTCCTTGCTAGCACACCGCCTCGTGTCCACTCCTTTTGAGGCTCAGCCTTCTTGCTAACACATTGCCCAGTGTCTGACTTTTGATACCATTTGTAACGGCTCAAGTCCACCGCAAGCAGATTAGGAGAACAAAGCATTCTTTATAGGGGTGTGGTAACCCCTCTCTCTGGCAAACGCGTACCTTGAGGGGAAGCTCAAAAGGGAAAATCCAAAGAGGACAAAATCTGCTAGCGGTGAGCTTGGGCGGTTACATCTAGCCAACAATCACCTGCATGATTCCCCACTCTCTCTCCTCCTTAAGTGCCTCCTCTTGTATACATATTTAATAGGCGATCTATCAGGTCTATCATATTAATTTTAATGGTGCAATACATCATAGTAAATTCAGCTTAGCGAATAAGGTTAGGTGTAGAACTTGAAGTTACTCATTCAGCAGATATGTTGATTGTATCAAGTAGCAATAGTTTAATGAAAGATGAACAGAATATGACTCTATCGGTTAATGTATATCTTATTGACTAAGAGGCCAGAGGTTTGAATCTTCCATACAATAATGGGTGGAAAAGGTTGAGTTTTTCTTTTATTATTATGTTCTGTAATTCTTTTCATCCCCTTTCCATGCATCAACCAATTAACCATTCATGCTTCCAGAAAGAAGAGTTCTTTTCCTGCTGATAAACAATAATGATAATGATAAAAGTAGAATCAAAGATGGCTTCTCATCACGCTTTGATTTTAGGCAGAGATTGCACGACAAGAAGCAAGGTTGAAGATGGAGAAGGAGAATCTGGAAAAAGAGAAAAGTGTGCTAATGGGAACTGCATCAAATCAAGATAACCAAGACGGAGCTCTTGAAATCACTGTAAGTGGTGAAAAATATCGATGTCTCAGGTTTTCAAAGGCAAAAAAATGAGGCTGACATGAAGAACATGATAAAGAAAAAAAGTAAGGTAATGTCTTGTTTGTGGCCTCTTCTTCCTCCTCTTAAGCTTCTTATAATTTCTTTTTTTTTTTTTCCAAAGCAAAATCATTAGTGTTGAAAGGTTCTAAGATGTACATGTAGATAATTGTTTATTACAATATCATGATGCTAACAGTTTCTATATTTGATCATTCCATTTCATTTATTTAATGAACCAATCAATCTACATCAACAAGATCCCTCCCTCCCTCTTTTTTGTGTCTTTTTGTGAGAAAAATGCATAAAACACGAACTACCCTAAGATCGAAGAGTCTTGACCCTAGGTTTTTCATATTTTTGTGAGAAAAATGCATAAAACACGAACTACCCAAAAATCGGAGAGTACGACCACAAGTTTTCCATATTTTTGTGAGAAAAATGCATAAAACACGAACTATCCAAAAGATCAGAGAGTCTGATCACAGGTTTTACTATGGTTCGTTGACTAATAAAAATATGAAAGTATAACAAACTAATAGACTATGTTAGTGGATAATTGATGGTCGAAAAAATGGCGCGGGAATTGTGTCATTAGATTATTTTATTATTATCATTATTATTTTGTAGTTGGACGATGTGAGTTGACAACTCATTCGTTATTTTTTCTTCATTCTTCCTCTCGTTGAGGAAATTTTGCAAGCATTGTCGTCATCACAACCTCTCTTGTTGGTACCTCCCATCTATCATTCAGCATTCGCCCTAGGTAGTTGAGAAATATTGACAAAGCTTTCTCAAGATCGAAGAAGCAATAGAAAAGTTAGAAATACGACAACAATTACGATTCACATAATTTCATGTCATATAAGCCAATATGTTAAAAAAAATAGTTTGAATTTTACCAATTGTTTAAAAATGTTCGTATTTTTTTAAAAATTTAACTTATCTTTGACTTTATAAAATAAAGGAGAAACTTATTAGGATGTTGAACAAAAATTGTCTAGATAGAGTCATCTCATAATAATAATTTTGAAATAAGATTTTTTTTAAATAAATAATTTAATGTTTTCTAGCTCGACTAATTATATTTAGCCAAAATATTAGAAATAATAAAAAAAATAAAACGACATGTCGTTTCCGACTCTTTCCCGCTCCTTTCTTCGCGGATCTTCCACTTCCCTCTACTTCTGTTGCTCTGCATGATTGATTCAGTTGCTGGTGCCATTTCCGCTGCTGCTCACACTGGTTGATTCAAATTACAGAGCCTGCACCATCCCCTACCGATTCGCTTCCGATAATCCTCGCAAGCCCACTCCCATTGAGCTCTAATGGATCGGCGTCTTCTACAACTCCATCCCTTCCCTCAAGTACATGTGATTTCTCTCTTTCTCCATTTTCGTTTTCTTTTTTTGTTTGATTGGGCATTCTGCTGCTGCGGGGAAGGGGAAGTCGGCTGTGATCTTTATGTTCTACTTAGCAATGTGGATGTTGTCTGATTGTTAAGAGTTTTATCTGCTGTTTAATCGGTTGATCTTGTTTTATTGAATGTGTAGCTGATAGAGAGCTTTTAGGATGCGATTGTCAGAATGGTTTTCTTTCGAAGAAAATTATACAATCGATCGTTTATAGGATAGAATTCATCATCCGTTCTTATTGTTAACTTGTGCAAATGACAACTTACAGTTTTTTGTGTGATTAAATAGCATTAACTTTAGATAATTTTTTATGGCTTGATTTCTTTTTGGTAGTACTTACTCGTGAGGATTATTGAGAGGAGTAGTCCCATATTGGCTAATTAAGAGGAAGATCATAAGTTTATAAGTAAGTAATACATTACTTTTAGTACGAGGCATTTTGAGGAAACCAAAAGCAAACCCACGAGAGTTTATGCTCAAAGTGGACAACATCATACCATTGTAGAGGTCTATGATTCCTAACATGGTATCAGAGTCATCCCCTTCACTTAGTCATGCCAATAGAATCTTCAAGTGTTGAATAAAGAAGTTGTGAGCCTTGAAGATATAATCAAAGGTGACTCAAGTGTCGAACAAAGGGCGTACTTTGTTCGAGGGCTCTAGAGAAGGAGTCGAGCCTCGATTAAGGGAAGGTTGTTCGAGAGCTCTAGAGAATGAGGCCTCAAGGGGAGGCTCTATAGTGTGGTTTATTCGAGGGAAAGATTGTTGAGAATTATTGAGAGGAGTAGTCCCACGTTGGCTAATTAAGAGGAAGATCATGAGTTTACAAGTAACAACACTATCTATCTCCGTTGTTGTGAGGCCTTTTGAGGAAACCAAAAGCGAAGCCACGAGAGCCTGGAGAATGAGTATCAACTTACTTCATGTCGAACCAATACTAATTTGGTCGTTTTATTGATCAAAGGTAATAGAAAAGTTACAGAAATTCAATATCAATTTGAAAGGAACATGGAGGGGAAAAAAGAGTATCGAAATGTTCAAACAACATAGAGAGAGCTTCAATGGATTAGTTCTCTTTGGTTGGATACGAAGCCATTTGGTTGATTCCACATAATCCTTCAGGTTTTCCGGTATTTCTCTTCATCCTAATGTATCCATTTTCTCCCCATTTTGGTCCCCATGAGTTCTTCACAATAATATAGTCTGTTCCCTCTGATGAACCATACCCGACCGCGGTCACACCGTGATCCATCTCAGTTCCGCATCGACCTGTGAATATTCCCTGTGAAGTTCATAGACAAACCAATGATCATAGTTAGATTCAAGTGAAGCCATCGATTTTGATTTGTTTGTCAGGGAAAGTATGATGCTATGCTTTACAATCTATCTTACCCCTTTGTAGAATTGGAAATTTCTGCCAGAAGCCTCAATGGCTACGCTGACAGGTTGGTTACTCAATGCTTTTAGGAGGCTCTGTTCGTCGTTTGCTGGCACGTCTTCGTAACCGCTGATTGTTACGACATCAAATTGTTCCTAGAGATTATAGTAACTTGTTTTAGTAAATAATAGGAAGTGTAAGCTTTATCTTAGTTGTGTTTTGGCATTAAGAGTTGAGGATTATTGGTGGGGAGTTCCATATCGACTAATTAAGGAGATGATCATGAGTTTATAAATAAGGAATACATCTCCATTGGTACGAGGCCTTTTGGGTAAACCAAAAACAAAGCCATGAGAGCTTATGCTCAAAATAGACAATATCATACCATTGTGGAGGTTCGTGATTTCTAACATGTTTTCAGAGTCATGGCTAAATAAAATCCTCAAATGTCGAACAAAGAAGTTGTGAGCCTTGAAGGTGTAGTCAAAAAGTGACTCAAGTGTCGAATAAATGGTGTATTTTGTTCAAGGGCTTCAAAGAAAGGAGTCAAGCCTCAATTAAGGGGAGGCTATTCAAGGACTCCATAGCCTCAGGGGAGCTCTATAGTATACTTTGTTCGAGGGGAGGATTGTTGGTGGGGAGTCCCACATAGGCTAATTAAGGGGATGATCATGAATTTATAAATAAGAAATACATCTCCATTGGTACGAGGCCTTTTGGGTAAATCAAAAACAAAACTATGAGAGCTTATGTTCAAAGTAAACAATGTTATACCATTGTGGAGGTTTGTGATTTCTAATGTTGAGTCTATTTACCTTTTCTCTAATACATTTTCCTTCCTCCATAAGATATGGGTAGTCCTCCTCCTTTCGAAGTCCTGAGTTCGACATTATGTATTGGAAGGCGTAATCCATCAGACCGCCATAGCATCCATTGTTAAAGCTTCGATCGCAGTCGATCAATTCTTGTTCGGACAACGAGGTTAGATTTCCAGTAACAATTTGGTTTATCCCCTCCACTGCTGCCACAGTTGAAAACGCCCAACAACTCCCTGCATTACACAATCATAGTTTTGTTGAAGCGTCATATGGGAAAATCTTGATCTTATACCATAGATCCATAACTAAGTAAATAAATAGATAAGAGAAAGAAAGAGACCACAGGAGCCTTGGTTCTTGACTGGAGTAACAGCTCCTTTGAGTCTCCAATCGACCGACTCCGGCACGTCCTCGACGTCCTGGTAACTAAAGCCACGAGCTGATCTTTGCCTCGGAAACTCGACTTTCAATCCCAAATATTTACTCTTAAACTCTTCATGGCTCAGGTCTGCAAATTCATTCAACCCAAGCCAATAGCTAGAAACCTTCTTGTTTGTCTCATCAATGTGCTTCAAATTGTCAAGGAATATCTCAAACCTATGGAGCTTCTCTTCAATGCTCCTATACGACTTACTATGCCTCGACATCCACGACTCGAAAAGCTCGATGGTTTTATCCATGGAGGCTAAATGCTCGGGGGAATATTCCACGATCGAGAAGTCGTGAGCGATAGCGTAGCCGATGAACAAAGTTGCAGAGAGGGCAAAGGCTAATTTGGAGATGGTAGAGAGAGCCATGTTTAGAGAAACTGTTGAAGGAAAGGAAGGGGAAGAAGTTGGTGAATGAGTTGAAAGGGGTTGGGATTCTCCCTTATATAATGTTTGTTTGGTAGATTCTGTGGGGTTTCTTTAAAGTGAAGTAGTTTATATCATTTCATTTTTTGTCAATACTGTGTCTTTAAGATTGGTTCTTTTGCAGCCTTTCTCACAAAGTTATGTTAATTAATTCTTTATTTATTTATTTATTTTTTTTTTGGTAAATTTAAGCAAAATTTGCTGAAAAATCCTCTAGATCATATTTTGTTTTTTAAATGGGTTAAAATTAATTCTTTCAAATTTTTAATTTTTAATTTTTTTTTTATTATTTCTATAAGGGGACTATATCTGCTAGCAGTGGACTTGAGCTATTACAAATAGTATCAGAGCTAGACACCAGACGATGTGTCAGCCTTCTCGCTGTTCCCCGAAGGGGGTAGACACATTATTCCCCAAGGGGTAGACACGTTGTTCCTCGAAGGGGGTAGACACGAGGCGATGTGCTAGTAAGGACGCTGACCCTGAAGAGGGACTCGGTGGTAGACATGTTGTTCACCAAAGATGCCAATAAGGACGCTGGAGCCCGAAGAGGGGTGGATGTTCCCCGAAGTTAAATACCGGGTTTTAATTTCATTAGATATTACGTCACCCTTGAGTTTTTCAAATATGGACAAGGACTTTTTTTAAGGATGAAAGGACTATTTTACCCTTCTAGAATGCCCTAATTTTCTTTTTGTCTTCCTTATCCTCCTTCCCGCGCGCGCAGTTCTCCCTCTCGGATGAAACCTACAGCGGCGAACGGCGACGGGTGACTAGCGATCGGCGTTGAGTTTGAAGGCGACGACTGCGGCTTGGAATATATTAACCATATTCTCCTGTAACTGAACTTTTTTTTTTTCCAAGAGCAATACTTGATGGAGTTTTGTAAGACGGATTCTCAAGAACTTTTGTTACAGATTCGGCGCCAAGAGGAGCTTTTGAAATCTAAAAGAAGGTCTGTCTTTCCGTAATCGGTTTATGATTTTGTTTGCTTGCGCCACATACTGTTTAAATGAAAAATGGAGGAATGAAGAGCTAGATAAAGAAGTTTTAAATTATTGATATTGGACTTTTGACAAGCAATTCGCTGTTCAAATCCAATTTTGTTTCCTTTTTATTGCGTATAAATGTAGTGTCCGGACGGCATAGATTATTACTTTTAGTAATTTAGATATCGATGCTGCAGTTTTCGATTTACTGGAAACGGATTCTACAAGTTTAGAGTACTTAATTGATAATTTTGATGGCTATGATCGGTGTGTTTGGATAAATGGCAACCAAACATCACTGATCCAGATTGAGTAATTTGGAGACCTAAATTGTTTCAATCAGTGAACAACCAACTCCATTGATACCTGATTCCGTTTTTTTTTTTTTTTTTTTTTTTTTTTTTTTTTTTTTTTTTTTTTTTTTTTTTTTTTTTTTTGTAATTTGTAGTTGAAAGTGGTGTTTTAGAATTTTATTTTTTTCAGTGTGACTTCATTGGAGAGATTGTATGTAGACCCGTTAGGGAGGCGCTGAATATGTTGAATGTATGCAGATGGCTGCTGGGGCTTCCTACATCTGTACCTAGTCTAAAGCATTTTGATCATTCAGACTTTTTAAACAAAAAGTAAGTGAAGATTTATTAGACAATTCATATATGTTAAATTTAGTTCATCGATTCCTTGCTCTAATGAATATTTTTTTTGTTTTTTTATTAGAAACTTGCCTGAATCATTGCTGAGGGAAGATGATGTAAGCTACATTTTCCATCTTTTCCTTCCCTCAGTTACTTTTTCTTTATGCAAATTGTAATGCAGTAGTGGAAAATTCATTATTCTTTTTTCCTCAAGTAACTTTGGATCCTGTTTCCTGTTGTACTTTTCCAGGGTTAAGTCCCAAGTTTACAAGATGATACACAAAATAGTCCATCTTTTGGAAATGTAAACCTTATTCACTGTGTTTTGTTCTTTCAAACTCTGTTTTTCAGGTTTTCTATGAGACTGTCAGAACAAGAGTTGAAGGAGCTTTTGGAACTTTAAATGTTGAAACAAGTCGTGTTGGTATTCCAGTTGATCTAATGTTAGATACTTGCAAAGTTAGAAAACTCATCTTGTCATGTCTTAATGATCTGAGCACCAATGGACTTTACCTTCTTGCTAGAATATTTACAGAAGACTCCGTCAAATTGGAAAAAACTCGCTGCAAGCTGAAAAGGGTCATCAAAGAGTTTATTCCAAAAGTTCTGAGAAGGGAAAGTCAAGATTGCCATCAATTGGAAATTGTTATACGATTGGCTCAGCTTCTCAATGACCCAAAAAATTTCCGAAGAGGATGTCGAAGAGGATGCGCAGCAACTTCGACACCAAGTTTGCCATCTTTGCAGGATGCTGCATCACAGGTTCTGTATAGATTAGGAGACCTGCCCACCCAAGGTCTCATAGCAATGCATCGAAAACTTTCAGGAGTTCGAGTTATGCCTCAGATGAAACGTCACAAGCATGGGTGGGGACGTGATCGTCTTATTAATGTTCTTACAAAAATTAGTAAGAAGATGCTTTCATCTCTTCGAGAAGGAGATAAATTACAAGAATCACTTGCAAAAGCTATGGCCATGGCTGAATTATCACTTAAGCTGGTATCAGGTCACCACAATTCATCCATAATTGAGTTTTATCCCTTCTCACCTCAAATAAAAACCTTGCATAATGAAATAGTAAAAGCCATATGGTTTGTTAGAAAGAAAAGTGACTTTCGGAAGCTCAAACAGTTGAAGTCTTTGTTGGATCCTGATTCTGAAGTGCCCAATAGGTGCTTAAGAACAGCTATTAAGCAGATGTTAATAGACTATCTTTTTGAGTGCTGTGATATGGACACTGTGCCAAAGTCTCTTTTGAAAGCTTTAGCTATGATAAATGCAGATTCTCGAAGTGCGTCACATTCATTTTTCTCGCAAGATGAAACTGAAGAGGAGGTTGAATGTGTATTTAGTCTGAGTGCTCAAATGAAACAAGTAGTTTGGGATTTACTACCTAACCGTGAATTTGAAGACGAATTTGCTGATGCATATATGGAAGAGTTAGAAGAAAGTGATGACGATTTTGATGATGATGGCAGTGATAGTTGTGATGGTGGCTTGCCTAGAGAAGACAATGGGTCCCATTCTGTTTATATTGAAGGTATGGGGGAATCTATGCCAGGCAATCTGGGGTATTCATCAGTGGGGAATGTCTTGTCCCCTAGTCAGGCGTCCATGAAAAGTCCTGATGTTAGGCCTCTCCAATGTTCAAGTCAGGCGTCCATGAAAAGTCCTGATGTTAGGCCTCTCCAATGTTCAGAACTTACGCATTTTACCAGGGAGGGCTCTTTAGATTCTTCTTTTAATTTCTGCTCTTCATTCATGGAATCCAAAGTTCAGGTGGATACATATAACTTATCTTCTAACCAACAAGTGGGGAACAAGCACACCATCTCATTTTCACATCATATATATGACTCTCCTTCCTCCAAGCTGACACCAAATATTTTGTTGGATACAATTGATCTTGCAAAAACCCCCTTTTTAAGTTCTTTCAACATGCCATGTGCAATGCCTCAGATGGAGCCTAGTAAACCAAGCCCGTTTAAGAATCAGTACCTCGTGATTCAAGAAGCTTGTGATGGAACTAGCATGATTGCTTATAATTTCATTGGTCGTTTGCTAGAAGAGTTTGCGAAGAGTGAAGGCGTAGACTTAGATTGGTGCTCTAATTTATATCTTAGTAGCCGCTGTTCAATTGAAGAAGACCTTCCTGGTATGTCTTTTCAAATTATAGATGCTTTCCGCCTTTGTTTGAAGTCTGATTCGAGTGTCACTTCATTATTTATTATTGTATAAAAAATAGCCTTCAAGGAACTTTAGTAGGTGACAATTGGTTTTATGCTCTTATTAGGTTGACAAATCAAAGAAAACGAAAATAAATAAGCATTACTTTTTTTTTTTTAGTTCAACAACTGTGGGGTTGAGTATGTATGCCTTATAGCCCAGCTTGGCAGCAAGCATAACTAGTTAGTAATGTCAAAAAGTATACTGGAGTTATTATATGTCGATTTTTCATGATAGAAAATTATTCTAGTAACTAAGTTTGTTGGTTTCATTTTTTTCATTGTCAGAAGTTGAACAGACTCATACTAAGGCGAAGAGAAGCGATTCAGTAATTATTCAAGTTTGTGAAGAGTTAATACCTTCTCTCTCTGAGAGGTATGAGGATTTAATGGTTTCTGCTCTTGTATTTGGTAGAAAGTACTAGTCTATAGACATGCCACTTATGTTTTACTTTACTTTCAGCCAGATTATGAGTCAGTGACCTATTATTAAAATTTTTACATGAATATAATCATGAGTAAACAGGATCTGAAACTTATTTGTATGCATGGTCACATTGGCAGTGGAACAAAGAGACTTCAACTGCTACTGGGATTGTGATTCTCCAGGGATTTTGGCTGGTCTGAATTAGCAGTTGATCTCTGGGCAGCCCAACAACAGCGAAGCAACCAGAATTGAACCACTGGAGTTCATCTTGGGGCAAAATGAAGAAGTTGGTATTGCGTTTGAGGACGTTCATACGAGGCATTTTTGGCGACATTATGTAGGATATATATACATACATATATATATACAAAAATATAAATATAAAAGCTTTCTTTGGCATACTTTACTTCACTTTTACTATATATTGTGAAACTCACCTTAAGAAATAGTAAATTCATCAGAAGCTAGAGAACAAAAGGTTAACCTGTATAGGCTAGTTAATTTCTTCTGCATAATGTATATTTATTGAGACTTTTTCAATCTTTTACAGAAGCGTGCATGCATCCATTATGACCCCAGAAAACACAGAACTGCTTCAGAAGGAAGTTTATGCTTATTCTTACTCTGAAGAAGATAAAGGTGAGATTCTAATTGACCAAATTCTGATTGGACCTGATTAAGGTTTAAATATAGATGTTGAAAGAAATGTCGATGCCTCAGTTTTTTGATAATATCTATGGAAATAGTAGATGGGAATGTTGATTCACCCTTTATGTCGACATCGAATCTATTGACACACGTGATATGTTGCCGGAAATTTAATACCATGCTCTTCATAACTACCTGTTTGTTTTATTCTTCCTGTCTCACTGTTGCAGAGTTTAAGCTTCCGAAACTGTTGAGTTCACTGGTGATGAGGCTACAAAACGGAATTTAAAATTGCTGATCAGGTCTCTGAGCTGAGGCAAAGATGTGATTGAAATTAGGCGACATTGCATCGTCTCGATCTGTTCATGTTGCAAAGCGCAAAGCGTTAGATGAATGACTCTGATACCATGTTAGATGAACACGACTCTCCACAATGGAATGATATTGTCCACCTCACAATCGCACTCTTGATGGCAGCAGACTTGCATTTGTGTGGCACTCACTTCCCAACGACAAGTGAGTTAAGCCATTTCGTTCTTACATTGTCTACGGTCAAGCGACGTATGCTCGAGCCTTTGGCCTCGGTTTAAAAAGTTTTAGAAAACGAGGGCAGAGGGAGATTTTAAAAGAGACGTTATATATGCAAGCAATAGAGTAACAACAACGGCTCACAATATATAATTATTGATAGGGGATATGACTGAAAATAAGCTTTCATGACTTTGTTTTGGGTTTCCCAAAAGGTACCTATGGAGTTATCCTCACTTATAAACCTATCATCATTCCTTAAATTAACCGATGGGGACTTTCATCCTCCAACATTTAAACAAGGGGAATTATTGATTTTTATTAACGCACGTTGGTCCTTGGTTTCTTACCGATGGGGACTTTCATCCTCTAACATTTATACATGAGGAATTATTTATTCTTATTAACGCACGTTGGCCCTTTGGTTTCTTACAAAGGCTTGTTTCTTGTTGTAGGCTGTGGCTTTATGAAAATCGACCTCAAGCAATTGGCTTTCTATCTTTTTGAAGGGCTGCAAGGTACTAGTTTTTTTTTTCTTTTCTTTCTTTTTCTACGACAAGGGAACCTTAAACCTTAAATAAGGTAATACATGTCTTTATTCGATGAGCTATGTCTAAATTGACATGAATTTTTTTACATTTAAATCCTCCCAATCTTGGTTCATAGTGTTGTGGGTGAGGTTTTAGAAGATATTATATCACTAACATGGAGTTTATATCCAGTACGAATATCGTATTCGTGAGATAGATAGCTTTAAAGATGACAAAAGAAGACTTCCTTAACTTTATATGGTTTGTGGTTTACGTGAGCACGTTGTTTGCCTGAACAAAAATAAAGTTTATACCCACTCGAACCAATACAATTCCTGAGACAAATAGGTCTAAAGGAGCCTTATAGATAGAGAATCTTACTCGTGAAGACTTAGTTTTATATGGTTTGTGCTCTACATGAGCATATTGTTTGCCTGAACAAAAATAAAGTTTATACCCACTCGAACCAATACGACGCACTAGACAAATAGGTGTAAACGAGTCTGATAAATGGTAGAGGAGACTTCTTTAAATGATGTATTAAGTTATACTATTCACAAATTTTTAAAAAAAAATCTTAATAAAAAACATCAATTATATAACGAATGTAATCAATGTAATTCATTATATTATTAATTTATATTTTTTTTAAATGTCAAGGAGAAAAGTCTTTCAAAGAAACATTTTAAAATCAATTTATTGTTTTTTTTTAAGGATTATGAATATTATAATAATAGTGAAAAAAAAATAATGGAGTTCATCAGGCTGGCTCATAAATATTGTCATGTTGCTTCTCAAAAATATTAATTCTAGAGAAATATTTATTGCAATACATTTAGACATGAACTTTCCTAAAGTTATGACCAATTTTCTTGCAATTCTTTTTTAAAAATGTAGAAGCTTATAGCTATCCATTATCTTGAGGTGACTCTTCATCGAATTTTCAAGCTAATATCACCTATTTTCTAACATGAGCATAGTTCAACGGACGTAAAATATGTATTCTCGATCAAGAGATCAGATGTTCGAATCTTCACACGTTAGGAAATTTAGGGAATAAATGACCGTATCATATAGCTTTAAGATCTTAATGATAAGTTTAAGGATTTATTAGATATTTTAGACATTTTACAAAAGTTCAAGTTGTTCATAAACTTGAACGTGACAAAAATATATTTAAGCCGAAAAGAATTAAATTTTTGTTAAATGGTAAATAATCAAATTCAACAACCACTTTAGAGGGTAAGATGTATTAAAGAAGTTTTAAAACCATAATCATTAAAAGTGATTTCAAAATCATTTTTATGGGTAATATTTTGAAAGAAAAGTATTAATTAAATGTTTAAAGCAAGAGGTAATAAATTGAACAAAAAATAAATATATAAATGAACCGATACTACATTTGAATAAGAGTGATAGAGAAAAGAATAAGAAAGGGAATAAAAATAAATGGATTTTATTGCCACATAAATTTACAGTTTTACCGTCTCACTATGTCCTTTTTTTTTT